GGCCAGGGGGGGGTGGCCAATGGGATGGGGGTGGCCATAGGGTCGTAGCCAAGGGGGTGGTGGTGGCCAAGGGGTTGGTGGTGGCCAATGGGATGGTGGTGTCCATGGGGAGGGTTGGCCATAGGGTGGTGGCCCTGGGTGTCCCCTCGGCTGCCACGGTCCCCCTTGCAGGACGAGGACGGCAACACCCTGTCGGACGAGGACATCGCGGCAGAGGCCAACACCTTCATGTTCGCGGGTGAGGAGGCGGGTGCCACCGCAGGAGGGGGACCCCCGTGTCCCCTGGCTCACCCCTTGTCCCCGTAGGTCACGACACGACGGCCAGCGCCTTGGCGTGGCTCTTCTACAACCTGGCCTGTCACCCCCACTACCAGGAGCGGTGCCGCCAGGAGGTCCAGGAGCTCCTCAAGGGACGGGACACAGAGGATATCGAATGGTGAGATGTCCCCAGTGTCACTGCCCCGGCCACCCGGCTTGGGGACGTTGGTGTCACCGTCTGTCCCCTCCAGGGAAGACCTGTCCCACCTGCCCTTCACCACCATGTGCATCAAGGAGAGCCTCCGCCTGCACCCGCCCGTCACCGCCGTGTCCCGGCTCTGCTCCGAGGACATGGCTCTGCGTGACGGACGCGTCATCCCCAAGGGTACATGTCACTCGGGGTGTCCCCAATGTCACCGTCCCTCCTTGTCACCTGTCCCTAAGGGGTCCGTTTCCATCTCACCAGGGGTCCTCTGCCTCCTGAGCATCTACGGGACCCACCACAACCCGGACATATGGCCCGAGCCCCAGGTAGAGCCGCTTGGCCCTGGTGGCATGGGACAGCAGGATGTCCTTGTCACCATGGGTAGAGGGACAATGGTGTCCCCACGGAGTGATGGCGTCTGTGTCACCCCAGGTCTACAACCCGTTGAGGTTCAGCCCAGAGAACAGCCAGGGACGGTCCCCATTGGCCTTCATCCCCTTCTCCGCCGGTCCCAGGTGAGCCATGATAGGGACACTGGTGTCCCCATGTGTCACCTCCCCCAGCCTGGTTGGGTTAAAGGTGGTTGTCCCCCAGTCGTGACATTCGGGCGTCATGGGGACAACACTGTCCCCAAGTTTTGAGGCCATTCCAGCATCTGCTCCACCAGCTGGGGTGGGGGGAGATCTGCTGTCCCCTGCGTCCCTCCCCGGGGAGGTGACAGATGGGGACACGGTGACAGGAACTGCGTCGGGCAGAGCTTCGCCATGGCCGAGCTGAAGGTGGTGGCAGCGTTGACGGTGGCACGCTTCGCCATCGGGCTGGACGCGGCACGGCCACCACGCCGCAAGACCGAGCTCATCCTCCGCGCCGAGGACGGGCTGTGGCTGCGGCTGGGGGCGCCGGACACCGGGGACACCGGGGACACCCCAGGTGGCAGTTGTCCCACCCAAGGGAGGAGCGGTCAATAAACGGTGACGCGGAGGGGATGGTGGCGTGGTGGTGGGGTGGGGACACAGGCTGGGGGGGGGGGGGGCTCCTCCCTCG